CCATATCTGCCCCTTTCTTTACTGTCCCCTGCCCAATTTAATGTTCTCTCCCTTTCCCAGCAGCTGTCAGTTGCCAAAATATCCTTAGGTTAGGTTGGAATTTCTTACCCACTTCCCCATGTCTATGCTGGGATTTTTTCTGGTTTGAGCGTGTGCCTGCTGTCACCATTGCTGTGCGTTCATATGAGTGAGCAGCTGTCTGGAAAACTCTGTTTCCATGTGTTCATTCATCACCTCTGGATGTTACAATCTTTGTGTCCCCTTTTCTGCTGATCCCTGAGCCTTGGGAGGCAGAAGTTTGGTGTACCTTCCCTATTCAGGGATAAGGGTCCTGCATCCTCATCATCTGCATGTTGGCCAATTATAGGTTTCTCTGTTAATCACCATCTGCTGCATACTCTGATGAGAATTGAGAGATGCATTAATCTATGGATATAGCAATAAATAATTAGGAGTCAGTTTAATACTATAACTGTTTAGTAGAAAAGTAGTAGTATTAGGTTCTCCCCTATGCCCTGTGACTTGTCTAGCCTTGGATTCCTAAGCCCAATATCAGTGTCAGCTATAGACTCCAGCTATGAAACCGATCTTAAATCCAATTAAAGAGTATTTGTTTACTCCCATAATAGTTTTGCTACTATTGTCCTGGTATACCTTGCCAGGCCATTTGGAGTTCATAGGATTTACAGCTAGGTAAAGCTGATGATTATTTTTTTCTTCTGGCAGCATGCATAGTACCTTCTAGCACCACAAAAGCTAGCCAGTAGAGATTAGGCTCTGAAGGCAGTGTGAGTTTGATTTCTCCTTGTTTGTTCTATAGCTCATGTATGTAGTGTCTTCAGCAAAAGCTCAAAATTGATCTACCTTATGATCTATCTATATCATTCTTGGGCATATACCACAAAGACTCTACACCCTACCACAGAAACACCTGTTCATCCATATTTGTTGCTGCCCTTTTCATAATAGCCAGGAATTGGAAACAACCTTGTCCATCAACTTATGAATGGATAATGAAGGTGTGGTACATATACACAATGGAACATTATTCAGTTCTAAGAAACCCTGAAATTATGAAATTCAGAGTTAAATGGATGGAACTGGAAACAATCATCCTGAGTAAGGTCACTCAGACCCAGAAAGACAAACATCATATGTTCACTCTTATAACTGGATGCTAGTTTTGAAATCCTACACAGGCATGTCTCAATTTCAAAATTCAGAGAACTCAGGAAACTAACAAATGACCATGGGCAGTGAAGAGCTTCTTGGGAGGGGAGGTAGAATGCAGTGATATAAATGGGGAAAGGGAACAAACAAAGCAGGAAGGGTTAAATGGTGTGGGACATGGAAGGGCAAGGCAGATGGGGGAGTATGGGGAGGGGTAGCCAACATAAAGGCCTTTAGAAAAAGTTGTATGAAAGCCTACCACTACAGAAACTTCTTTTTTTTTTACATATACACTATATAAAGAGAGAAATGGGGTCATATAATGACAGGGGGACATTGCCCCTACTATGCTACCAAAGTTTAGCAAATAAAAAGCCCAGTGTGAAAAATGGACTCCTTCTTTTGAAACTGCTGACCAGGGGTACCAGAGACCGTCAAATAATATTAGATATTGCCCCTGATCCTTGTTACCCACCAGAATTTGTCAGTAAATCCCTAGTTCTGAAGATACTGCACACACGAGCTGTTGAACAAACAAGGAGAAATCAAGCTGGTACAAACTCCAAGGCTTCATCTCTTCCTGCTGGCTTTCATAGTGCTGGAGGGTGCTATGTTACCAGAAGAGAAAAGTAATCATCAGCCTTGCCCAGCAGTGAATCCTACAAGCTACAACAAGTGTCCTGGCAACATATGCCCACTGGTGCAATAGTGGCGTGAATATTACTGGAGTAACCAACTACTTTCTAATTGGATTTTAAGTCAGTTTCACAAGATGAAGCTCGTAGCTAACACTGACATCAAGGCTAGGAACCTGTGGTTAGACAGGTGACAGGCCACATGGGAGACCCTACTGCTATTACTCCACTAAATAGACACAGTATAAAGTCAACTCCTAATGACTTACTGTTATACCCATAGATTAATGCATCTCGCAAC